TACCTTTCTAGGAATCTGTCCATTTCTTCTGTGTCTTCTATTCTGTGAGAGTAAAGATTCTCAAAGTAGCTATTGATAATCTTCTGAATTTTTACTGAGTCTGTGGTAATTACACCCTTTTCATTAAATAAAATTTTTTAAAAAATTGTTACGATGTGGAGAGGTGGAGAGCCGTCCTTAGGATCTTTCTTGTGTCTCTACAGTACCGTCCACACTTTGACTTCTTGCTGTCTGCGTCTGCCTCTCTGGAGCTACAAGTCTTATTTACTGTATTGTGACAACCTTTCACCTAAGCAGCAGGAGAAGGGCCTCAGCCTGTCTGTTTGCGCATTAAGGGCTTCTGTCTTGTTGCTTACTCTGGATCTGCTTGGTTTGGTTTAATTTTATTGTGGGAGGGATTTAACAAATGCCTAACAAATCATTCTGTCAAATCATTATTCAGTGACCATATTCATTTTGGAATCTTGCGGTCCACAAGCATTGAAAATGATAGCTACATAAGAAAACAATGTGGTGATTCAGAAGCAATATTTACAAACTACCCCCTCCTGTCCCTCTCTTGGACAGGAGCTTTCTTTCTCTCAATAAATATATTCTGCTCAAAAAAAAAAAACAACTTACAAACCAGATATTGCTAGACAGAACCTATGCACCCCAGCCACAGGATAGCAGTGGTCAGTATCAGTTCTAGTTTCATGCCAATACATTCCCTTAGCCAATGGAAACAGAAATGCCTCCTCAGTGACTCAGTGTCTGCTATTTATTTGAAGTTAAGCCTTTCTCAGAATGCTGGTTTGCCCCAAGTGCTATCTGCAGAACTTCATTCAGAAAAGTGTATGGATGTTAATTTAATTGTAAACAAGAATTCAGATTGTGTTTAATTATAATTCTTCCTTTCATTTGCTCCATTGATAACTGAAAGAGAATATATAAGGTGGCTGGGGAAGATAGCTCAGTAGTCTAATCATCTGCCTGGCAAGTACAAGGACCTGCTTTCAATCCCGGGTACTGCATGCTGTGTGGACCCCAGAACCAGGTGTGATGGCACATGCCTGAAATCCCAGCAGTGGGGAGGCCAAGACAGGAGGATCACTATCGAGACCTTGTACCAAATAATAAATAAATAAATGATATTTAAAAAGAAAATATACAAGGCAGTTTCCAGAACCATTTGTTTTAGATAATTACACATTTTTAATGAAGAAATTGCATATTCAGAGTAGATATTAAATGAAGGAGTCAGAGAAAACAGTTATTAAAAGTGAGACTATATTCATTTTGGAAGTTTGCAGTCCACAAACATTGAAAATGGTACCTACATAAGAAAGCAATGTGGTGATTCAGACTTTATGATGTCCTTTTAAAAAGAGGTCCAGAGCCAGGACTCTCTCAGCAGGAACATCTTTTTGCATAAAGCGCCTATAGTTCATTAAAAGCTTTTCTGTTGATTGAAACTTCCTCTTAGACACAGTAGGCACACATCAATAAATAAGGCCACAGAAAAAGAGTTGTCTGTTTTTGAAGCCCACTCAAAAAATACAACATATATTTTTACTTTTTATTCTTTTGTTTTTCAGACTGACCGAGAATCTAACCTCCTCAAGAGTACTAGCCCTCCCCAGCTGCACAGGCGTGTGTTGCTTCCCAGCACATGGCACGACTGTCTTGCCTTGTACTGCCTTATAGCAAGCATGCTGCCTGCGCCAGAAATGGGTCTTGTGATCCTTGTTTCTAAGGGGGTAACGTTGCTAGGCACACAGTTATTCCTCTATTCATTTTATAAGAAAGGAGATTTTTCTACTGTCTTATGATAACTTCTCTTGAATGACTAAACCAGATAGTGTATTTAGTGTGTAATCACAAAAAAAGAAAGGACTTCAGGAAGGCATAAATCTTCGAATGAATAAGCCTTCCAAGAGCACAAGGGCTTGTCACCCTCTAAAAACAAAGCTCCCCTAATGACAATGCCAAAAGGATTACCTTCCTAGGAGTTTCTCAGCCAAAACCAGCTTTGAAAACCAAGTAGCTTAAGAGAAAGCCTCGCTGTACACTTGTTTGTGAGCCATGGTCCAGAACCAGCCAGGCTCAGGTAATGGCTTTCTATTGTGTATAAGAGAAAAGGCAGAAGTACACAGCCTCATCCAAGTTTCTGCTCTGTAAATTGAAAATAGAAATTTTCCTTGTGAGCACAGTTTAACTGGGAGAATGTCTCAATATACAGTGAGTTGGAAAATATTTTTAAGGTGGAAGATCACAATAATGTTTGGCTTGCATCCTCATAAGTGGTATTTTATGGCATCATTTGATATATTTTTAGACTTCCAGTGATTTCTTCAACAAAATTCTTTAGCAGAGGCTTTTGTGTGCCACTTGTCATTTTGTTGCATGTATAAAAAGACATCCTAGCTCACATTACCTGCTTTTTGGTACAGTCCTGAATCTGGAGAACTAATACAAAGGAAATAGTGAGATGTCCTGGTACTGGAACCAAAGTGTAGGCTTGACTGGCATTCAAAATGTGACAGCTTGTGAGGATTAATGCTGTTGTCCCCACAGCTTTGCACTGGTGGAGGGCCACCATTGACTATGGGGCTCTTCTAGGACAGAGAGGGAATAAAAATGCCATTCTTTTCAGGGTTAGAACTCAGATCTTACTTGGTTGGACATTTTCCCACAGAACATTTTGTAATAAAGAATGAAGAATTAATAGTTTTCTGATGCTCTTGTCTCAGCACGCGTCTGTGTGTGTGTACAAGCACACATTTACACACACACATATGGGTGTAATGTATGCATAGGCCAAATGGAGATAGAAGGAGGTCTGAGGATGCTCATCTGAACAGTTTACAATCTGGAGTGATTGATTTATCTGAGCTCATTCCCTCTTGCCTCTCTCAGTAAGAATGCCAGATGCATCCGTTTCCTTGCTTTTCTTGTCCTTCCCCATCCCCAGTGCCAGTGGAGGGGTAATTGCAGCAAGTTGAGGGACTTCATTTCCTGCTCAGCTCTCTTGCTGCCTCCTCCTGGTGCAAGCGCATGTCAAGGTGATTACATACCTGTGTAGGCTCCCCCTTCCTTTACTTACAGCCATTACTCAAATTGTCCCCTTCTGGGATATCCCTTGCCTTTTCCTAATCACTTGTGTGACTCAGAATTATTCAGTATCTTTTCTAAAGAAGTACCTTACACACTTGATTAAAAGCCCAAAGAGGCTTCAGTGATTTCCCCACCACCACCCCCCGGGCTTGAGCAGCATCTGCCAATTTTCCTGATTTACCTGCTAATTATCATTGTATTCACTGGCATTCACTAACATGTGATGGCTCGAATAAGACTGAGTGCTACCTGAGGAAATGTGGATCAAGGTGTACAGGACTTGTTTGAATAGAGTGCATGTATCTTCCATTTACATCTTCCTTTGAAATAGACTTCCATGTTTTGAGCAAGACAGATCTTAAGCCCGCACTGCTTAGTCTCTTCTTGCCTCTGCCTTGGCTCAGGACCTACAACGTGGCAGTGTGCATTCTCTCTACCACTGCAGCTGCCTCTTCCTTAGAATTACATGGGATGGGATTAGAGCTTGGTCTTCATAGTGAGACAGCAAGTTCATTGGAGTCTAGCCTGTCACTCGCTAGCTCAATGTCTCTGGGCAAGTTTATTTAACTTTCTTAAGTCCTCATTTTCTCACCTGTAACATGAGGATAGTAACTATATGGGAAAATTGACATTGATCATGATGACACAAATAAAGGGTACCTAGAACATGGTAAGCATTCAATAAATGATAGTGGTTGTTACTACTGATAAAATTGTGCACTTTACAAACTGTTACTAGGCTCAAATTTTGGTTGCAGATTTGTATAAATAGAGAAAGTACCTGAGTATCCAAACCTCCACTGTTCGATGTTAAAGAGAAACCAAAATCAGCAGTATTCCTAGTACCAACATGCTTGCTTTGGGCACTCCTGTTAAGATTTGTTAATCATGCTTATCACAAGGGTTGCAGAGATTAATGCTCATAAACTCATATGTACACAGCTTATGATATATATTACAGGGAGATGAAAATGTGTTCCTTACTTTGAGAGAAATTTATCTAAGACATGAAATCTTAAATGTTATAATTTTACAAAGATCTACCATTGCAGAGTAAGTGGTCTTGCCAGTGATCTTGTTTTTATTATAATATTATTGAACCTTTAAAAATTTTGAATTCTCTGTTATTCTCTTAAGGAGAAATGTATTAGAGGTTGAAGATAGAATGAATTTTATCTAATAAAATACAAAATCTAATTTGTGGGAGTATATGAAAATCCCAATAACCCATAAGATAAAGTAAAGCCAGCCAGGTTCACTGATTTCATAAAATTTTAAATCTGACTCTTCTAAACTAAGTTTTTTCTGTATAAAAAAAGAACATAAAAAGTACATAAAATGTGAAAGAAGTCCTATGTGTGAATATATACATATAGGTAGATTTTGTCCAAGTTTCTATAGATGGGGTTGGTTGTGCCTGGTAATTGGATACAATTAAATATTAGATAAAGTTTCAGTAATATACCAAAAATATAAAGTACAAGAATAAAAATTCCATTTTCTTTTTGTTCCAGGTTCTCTGGGAGATGCTAACAAGGGAGGTCCCCTTTAAAGGTTTGGAAGGATTACAAGTAGCTTGGCTTGTAGTGGAAAAAAACGAGGTAAGACTACATTTCTCCATTCAGGTACATAGATCAGAAAACAGTATTGGGGTTTTGCAAAAGACTTTTTCATCTTCTTCAAATTGAAAGTAAGTTCACGCTTATGGAAAGATTAGCAGTAGGAGCTAACACAAAGGGTCAAAGTGATGTTATTCCTCATGAATGGACCCTTTACATCTAATTGTTGCAGCTTCACGTCGTGATGCTGTAGATCAAAAATTGTACAAGTACTGTACTAGTTTCTCAGTCTCAATTGTAAAACCTAGGGGTTTGTTCTTAGTGATGAAAGAAGCCATTGCGTCCAAGGTAGGGGAACAGTTTAACTCCATCTCCTGCGTTTAGGACATCTTTTTTACTGGCCGGGAGTTGATATATCTGTAAGAGACCTTCAGCTACTTCAACTTACCTCTCCCAGCAGGAGTCACTATAGTACAAGAAACTGTCGCTTAGATGAGAATTTCAAAAATAAAAGAAGAAAAAATAGTTTCAAAAAAGGGAAAAATTACAGTTTTGCCACCTACGTTGAACACTACATTGAAGATGAGCTCCTCACTGGAATTGGCGAGGCAGTGGCATAACTGTTCGCTTCTTCATGCAGAGCCTTTCCATTTCAAAAGAACTTCAGTGGCGTAAACACCGTTTGTGCTGTGTCCCCAGCCTCGCTTTTCTTCTTCCCACAAATTGAGGCTTTCAGTTAGTTGGACCTATGAGCCTACATCAGAGAATATGGCACATTCATATCAAAGAGAGCAACTACATTTTGAAAGGTTTAAAATTGTGCCTGAAACGCACAGCCATGGAAATTCTCAGCATAAGGATGAAGCATCCAGTATCAAGGTATTATGAGGACTCAGATCATGTAATGGAAGCATGCAGTTGTCTTTGCAAGGCGAAACAACTTTATTTCACAAAACTTCATTTCCAAATCTTATCTGACCCCTCCACAAAGGGTGAGAGTGCAACCTTAAGATAAAATAATTTTCTAAAAGGCATATATATAAAAATATTCCCTTTCTAATTATGTAAAAGAATTAAATTGATCTGCTCCCTATGTGAGTTTCAGGAACAAGTTAGATTAATCAAAAAGCTGCTCTTGAGTAGGAGAAACCAAGTTTCCATCTTTTAGATCATATAATCCAGAGTTAACCTTACTAATTTGTCTTCCTGGCTCATTGAAGATGGATGAAATATTGATGATAGCCGAACTTAATGAGAGAGACAGCTGCCAGTTTAAGAAATGAAAGAGAATTAAAGGCAAGAGTATACCTTATTCATTGTTTTCACAGGAGCTGATTAATTTTAATTAAGTGTGATAGTAATTCTGGGTCTGCTATTAAATAAGACCTCAACACAGGGTAATATAGTTTTAGAATATGAGGACCCATTTGTTTCTATTCTATTTCTTTTAGCAGTGAGATGATTAGATGTTTGGTTCAGGGCTTCCAGATGAAAAGTGAAGAGAATTTTCAACCTCAGTGGACTCTGAGGCAGAGCAACTCCCCTCTCAACTCTCCTGCCACACTGTGCTAAGATAAACCAGGAGAAAAGGCTTTTAAGGCTAACTGGACTCTTCTAATGTTTAAAAGACGTGACTGATATTATTCAGTAATATTCCATTCTAAAGAATGGCAGAACAGGGGTAAGCCTATAGCATTTTAAAATCATTAGACATTTAAAGCTAAAGAGAAAGATGAACCTAGGTCTCCCTAAGGGTTGGGAATCCTCCCAGATGACCTTCAGCACCCCTTTAACATTGCGTACGAGGAGACAGCCTCCTGTCCCCAGCAGACCCCATGGAGAGTATTTCTTGCCCATGGCGGGTTCTGCTGGTCAGCTCCTAACTCCCCAAGAGTGCTGAGACCTCCCATGCCATAATGATCAGATATGGAATAATGATCAAATACGGGAACACACATGGTTACATGATTCTCATTTTTTTTCTAATGAACTTAAAACTGGGTGTTATAAGGATACTTATGTGCACAGTACTTATTTGCCCACAATATGGAAGGAAAGTGTAAATGCAGTTTCCAGTGTCATTGTTCAAGAGCGTTTCTTCATTTTACCTTGTAAATGGAGGCACTCATTTCCAGAGCACATTCTCTTGATATAGCAGTAATTCCCAACATTCGATGTCATTTAATAACAAAAGTGAGACAAATATCGTTTACAGAATCCCTCCAACTTCTAACTTCATTTACTCATTTTAACTGTTGAATAGCTTCAGATACTGTGTTTTTAAAAGGGCGCTATATTTTTAATAGGTTTCATTTAAGTAAAAAATGATGTGTTTAAACTATCAGGGAGAAATTTTAAATGTGATCCAGTCAGCCTATAATATCTATGCATTAGGATTGATTTTTCTTTTTAATTTTTTATTTCAAAATAATTATTGACTCATAGGAATTTGTAAAAATATTGTAAAGAATCCTGAGTACCCCTCCTGCAGCTTCTCCACTGGTGATTCCTTAAGTAGCTATCGTGCAGGATAAAACTGGGGAGTTGAGACCTGCACGTTACTCTTGAACCACTGCCAGGTCTTACTCAATCCACCACTGCAGTTTCCATCTCCAGGAGAATTAAAACTGTAAAACTGTATCTGAGAGTCTTTTTTTCTAATCCTTTATTAATGAAATTAAGCCTTTCACCAAATATCTTTTCTAATTCTAAAACTAGACCCATATGCTTTGCTAAACTATCGTGTAAACACTGAACTTTTATAGAAGACATGAAGGTAAGAGGATATTACTAAGAAAGTTTTTAAAACAGAAAAAGGCATGCTTCTTTGCTTTCATTCCCATGAAACTTGACCAGCACTTCAGATGTTCTGCTAGTGTAATTTCTACTTTTATAAATGTTTAGATTCTATATAAAATTTGTCTAAAAAACCAGGATTAAACTGTAAAACAAAACTTAATAAAAATCAATCTACTCCTCTTGACTATACTTTAGAAAGATAAAAACTTGACCTAAAATAATTTTTATCTCTTATGTAGAAAATAGTGTAAAAATATGTTTTTAAATGTTATGCCTAATTTAGTGATTAGGAAGTATTTTAACCTTAAATGTGAATTTTTATTTTTAAATATTTAAATTTTACAGTATCGCAAGCCTGGCACTACATTATTTCAGAATGTTTTAATGCATTAGGAATGTACACAGTTGTGTAATCAGGATTTAAATACTTTGGATTCTACTTTAAAGTACTTTTTAATGCACCAAAGTAATCCCTTACATAAAGTGAGTCTAGATTTAACTGATACTTGACCTTATCAGAGTGCTTCAGGTGTGTGTCTAAAAAGCTTTTCAGTGAGAAAAGATAATCATGTAAGTAAGAAGTACTCATATATATTCAGCCAATTCTCCTTTAAGTTCACAGACTGTTGCAAACAGCTTATAATGAAAAGTATTTCCCTTTCCAAAAACTCATTTTCAGGGTCTTGCAGGTTAGCTCAGTTGTTTAAAGCGCTGGCTTGGGCAAACTCAGTCAGGCACAGGGGACTGTGGTTCAATCCCCAGCTCCACATGCTGCACCAGACCCGCCCCTAAGGCAGCCTGAGCCAGCCAAAAAAAAAAACAAATGAGAGAATCCAAATACTCATTATTTTTAGTTATACATGGGGAAAATTTAGTTGCATAAGTGCAATTAGTGTTTTTCGTTAGTTCCCACCTTCCAGATATATTAAGGGAAAATCTGGAGAGGATTGCTGTTTTAAGATTATCCATAATTCCAAAAACAGATCATCATTTTTCTTTCTAGCTTTCCATATGAGCTTGCCCCAAATCCAGCTAAGCTCAGTGTTAACTCTCTGCTTGCGAGATGTGGTGGTGCAGTACTGGGGAATAAATCCTGCTCTGTGCATTCTCGGTGTGGACATGCCTGGCGCTCACGTGATTGACGGCTGTGCTCACACTGTTCAGTCCCCTGCTAGGGAGTTCACTGAAGTGCCACTAACCTGCACAGAATATATTCTGCACCAACATAGTGCTGTATTGTAAAAGACAAATAAGTGAAACATGTGTATAGCTTTGTACAGACTGCAGGCCTGGAGGGGATAATGAGGCCTTCTTGGGTCCTGGCAGCAGCTGCACAGGCAGCCTGATACACCGTGTTGTGTTAGGGCCTGCTGTACCAAGAGCAAACTGGTGTTAGTGACAGCCTCAAAAATCTTGGTAGACTTATAAATAAAATGTAAAGATCAATCTGCCTTTGGTGTATTTTATTTGATAGTTCAGCTCTTGCAAAGTTTGGTATGCTTTCAAACTGCTCAGAAAAAATACTTAAATCAGAATTAGAGTCTAGGCCCAGAAATGATAAACCTCTTTGCTTGTTTGTATTAGTTTTGTAAGTATACATACGAAATTTGATATTTGATGAATTGTAAGTGAAATCTTGATCCTGTAGGACTTCATTATATATTGAAGGATGACTGGAATTCATTTATTTTTATACTGCTAGAGATTGAAGCCAGGACCTCACACGTTCTAGGCAGGTGCTATACCACCTATGTACAGCTGAGCATTTTAAAACAAACAATAATATCTCCTCCAGATGGAGGCATGACATGGTGTATGAGTGTGACTGCTATAGGAGCTTAGAATAGGGTTGTTCCTCCTATAATTTGTGTTGGATTAGATCCCTACACTGTCTGGGTTTAATCAAAACAAAGTCATAGTGAGCCATGCATTCAAAATGTCTTATCAATGGCAAAATGAGAATTCCTTAAAAAAATTTTTTTAATCATCTGGGCTGAAGATGTTTTCTGAATGATGTACCTGTTGCCAAAAACTGAACTGATTTCCTTGTTACTTGACTTGTTTGGATATATTATCTGTAGGAATAGATTTGTGCTTTTAGATTTAGCATTTAAGTTCCAACTTGCCCTGTCCTACTACAGTTTCTTTTAGACTTTGCCTATGTTTCGGTACATTAGTCATACTTCAACCTGACTTCTCTATGAGTTAAGCTTCCTCTTTAGAGAAAAAGTAGGAGTCTTTAGAGATTAGATATTACAAATCTCAACATAATTCTACCGTTATATACTGATCCATGGAACTTTTGAATTTTATGTTTTGTTTATGATCTTCAGCTCTGTTAGGGTCCTTCAAATAGTTATTTGCTTGCCTTAATGAGTAAATCCTTGTTTTTTGTTTTTTGTTTTTTTCCTTTCCCTGGTACAGAGACTAACCATTCCAAGCAGTTGCCCCAGAAGTTTTGCTGAACTGTTACATCAGTGTTGGGAAGCTGATGCCAAGGTATGTTTTTTTGTTGTTTAGACTTCTGAAATATCACTTGTTTGTCTGTTTTTGAGTTTTTAAACTTGGGGTAGTAAAACGCTTCATACTGCAGTTGACTTGCTATTCCTCAGGGCCCCAGACTGAGTGTGAAGGCCTCTGTCAGCATCCTTATCTCCATCTCCACAGTCCCATTACTAATTTTTTATAGCCTGCCTTGCTTTTCTTGTCTCAGTAAAATGATTGTGATCCTTTGTTTTTAATCTGTAATAATAATCACTGCACTTTTATGTTATAAAAATGACTGATGCACAGTACTTATGTGCCAGGCACTGTTCCAAGCACTTTATGTATATTAACTCATTTATCCTTCAGAATGCCTCTCTGAGGTGGGAGCTGCTACAGTCCTCATCCTACAGGTGAAGAATCGAGGCTAAGAACAAGCCCAGGCCACACAGCTGACACACGGTGGGAGCGGGGCTGGCCGGGAACCCAGCAGCCTTGCACAAGTCCCTGCTCTGAGCCCTCTTCTACGCTGTCTTTCTAACCAAGAAGCAGGTGCATGCAGCACCAGCGAGACTCATGCATCCACTCTGTCCCATTGCAGGGATTTTTTTTTTTTTTTTTTTTTTTTTTTTTGAGCTATCACAGTAGAGTTGGAGAAATTCCAGAACTGAGGCTTTCTTGTGTTTATCACATCAGAGCACAAACAACCCATTTCCTTTCCCAACAAAGACCATTTAAAAAGACTTTTGCACATATACGGAAGTATTTACAGATAAAATGATAGGCCAGCCTTGGATCTGCATGAAAAGAAGGTAAAAGGTAATACAGGACAGTATAGAGTAAATAAGATTGGCTGTGATAATTTGTGAAGCTTTTAAAAATAATTTTAATAGATGTTCTTTCTATTGCCCCCTCTATTTTTATGTATGTTTAGAATTTTCCATAGCAAAAAGTTAAAGATTCTCAACTGTGTAAACTTTAGATTAAGAGAACATTTATGCCCAGAAAAGGAACAAAAACAAAAACTGTTATGGTCCAAATCTGTTCCATTTCTCATGGAAATAAAAGTATTACAACTGACCTTTGAAGTACAGGCTTACAAAGAAAGACTAAACTGGAATTACTCTTTTTTCTTTTTTTGGTACCAGGGATCAAACTCAGGACCTTGAGCTTGCCAGGCAGGTCCTTAAGCCAGTGAGCTATCTCCCCAGCTGAAATTCTTTCCTAATTTCAACCCAGTTCTGGTGTGACCCCCAAGAAGAATGAATGATGACAGAACCAAGTCTGCTCTTCTCCCTTGGGTTGCAAAGCTCTGAAATAGTTCCTGAACCTGGAGACTGTGTTAGTGAGACGCACAATTCATGTTGCTTCATGCCCAGGCTTTCCCAGAACGCTGCTCTGCACTGAGGGCCCAGTGCAGCAGGCCTCCAGCAGCAGCGAGGGCCCCATGCTGTGATGGCTTTCACCTGCCGCACACTGATCTCTGTCACCTGTAGCACAGCACCGGTTCCCTGAGCCCTGTGCATTGAACCCTCATCCTGCTGCTCACGTGCTTCAATCTTTGTATTCTCTTCTGTTTTTAAATCTTCCCCACCTTTTATTCAAGTCAAGACCTACATTTATTTGGTATCATTTTTATTAATGAATTTAGCATGTTTTAAAATATTAGTATTTTTATTTAGGTTTATTATTTTTATTAGTATTCTTTGCATGAGTTTTGAATGGTCTCCTTTACTCTGTGTAGACCCTATTTAGTGTGTGACTGCAGAATGGGTTTTTTTTAAGCACTAAGAAAGTGTCTGTATTTTGTATCTAATCCAGTTAAAACTGTAATCAGGTATTTGCAAGCACACTTTAAAACATTTATACTGTTTAAAATGTATCATACTAGCCATCCCTACTTCTTCTACAAATTGTATGTCCAATGTAACGTATGTAGTGATTTGGGTATTTTCTCTGTCATACCTAAATGGGAATTTTATTTGAAAGTACATTAATGCAACCATATATCTATAGTTGTCTGCAAAGCACATTTTTAATTTTTTAATGGGGCACTCAGAACTACATTCATTAAAATTCTAAGAATATACATCATGGCACATTGATGGAGTGATAGTATAAACACCTCACACACCAACGGTATTTGAGCCAGTATAGACAACACACGACAACTGGCCCTTCTTTTTTGGGAAGGGCCCTTCTTTAAGACAAAAAGAATTTTGTATTCTACCATGTGAAGTATAAAAGGGTTTAAAATTAATTTGGGGTGAGGAGAAAGCTTGGCAGTCTAAGCACCTGCCTCACAAGCACAAAAACCTGGGTTCAATCCCTGGTACCACATGCCGTACTAACCCTGGAACCTCAGGTGCACCCGTGCTGGCCACCAAAACCAGGCATGGTGGCACACACTTGTAATCTCAGCACTGGTCAGGTTGAGACAGGAGGATCACTATGAGTCTGAGCTGGGTAGCAAGACCCTATATACCAAATAAAAGGTTAAACATAATAAAATAACATTGACTTTTGTTTCATAAAGCCATAAAATTTTACTCTGATAAAACTACTACAAGCCCTCATGTATTTGATTTGATTGTACAGCAGGCTGCAACCCACATTTCATTCTTTTTTTTTGGGGGGGGGAGGGGTACCGGGGATTAAACTCGGGACCTTGTGCTTGCCAGGCAGGTGCTTTTTCCGCTGAGCTATCTCCCTGGCCCAAACAGATTATGATGGACAGGGATTCTTTTCTTTGTTGGTTCATGCTTTTTTTTTCAGCCCACGTTTCCAGCCTTCTCCTTGCTAGTGTGCATGTGCCTTGCAGGCCTGCCCTGCTGACTGTTGTTGCTGCTTCTGTGTGCTATGCTCCTCCCTGAGTCCTTCTTCATCTTTGGGTCTTCTCTGTTTCTATGCCAGCCCCAGCCTGGACTTGGGACTCCTTTCTAAGCCAGTCTGGCCTATCGCTCTTTTTAGCATTACAGTGTTTTGTTTTGTTTTAATGTCTTTTTCTTTCTAAATGGGTTGAAAGTTCCGCAAGTTCATAACGCTAGTTTGTGTGTGTGTGTGTGTGTGTGTGTGTGTGTGTTTCCCTATAAGATCTTTTGTTAGTTCACTAAGATGTCCCCAACTTGTTGCTGCCCAAAGAAGCCAAACCACAGTAAATTTCTGAGGGACATTTCAGTTTTTTGGCAAATACAGCAGTTCAACTAGAACCAGTCTTGTGCACATTTGGAGAACAATAATTGGCAAAATATTTTATCTCTTTTTCAATCCTTAGACTTTTAAATATTAATACCTAAATTAAAATATCGTGTGCACCTCCAGGGCTTGGATTCTTTTGCAGTGAGAAGGGGGAGGTGTATAGGAGAGAAAGCTGGAGTTAGTGAGTGTCGGCACTTAGAGGCTTGCACCAGGTGCTCAAGAATGCTGTACCGAAGAAAAGAAGGAAGAAAGGGATGAGGAGTATTTTTTTAAGTCTTCATGTAAAATTTCTAAGTAAGAAAGCAGTGGCAAAAGCTAAGGGGAAAAACATCTTACCCTTCTGATAAAAGATGAGAAGTGTTTGAGAGCAGAGCCCTCATTTCTATAACATGCTTCCTATGTGATGGTGGGCAGTTCATGCTTTTCTGTGACTAGTTTTCCTTACTTAGAAAATAGAGATAACAGATACAGAAATAATAGAGGTGCTTAATAAATATTGTTTTAAAATAAGCAAATTTACTTATTTACTTATTTAGAGATAGGATGTCCCGCTATGTTTCCCAAGCTGATGAGGAAATCCTGGCCAACTGGTCCTCGTGCCTCAGCCTCCTAATTGACTGAGATTATAGGTGTGCACCACCATATCTAGCTGTTCACTGCTTTTTAAGTGATCACACTCATCATTGCTATGTGAGCGTAGATTCTAACTATACAATTAATGCTTTTCTAGAGATTCTTAACCTTATTACAAAAGAGTTTCACCTTGTTTCAAGAATAATTAATTCAGGTAAAAATATTATTCTTTAAAAATTTATCTGGGGCCGGCAAGATAGCTCAGCAGACTTAATAAGCACCTGCTTAAGACAAGCACAGTTACTGGGGTTCAATCCCTGACACCACATGCCAAACCGGCTCCACCCCCAGGACAGTGAGCCAGCGACTGAGTCTGGGCGTGGTGGCGCACACCTGTAATCCCAGTGCTGGGGAGGCTGAAAACAGGAGGATCACTATGAGTCCAAGCAGCACAGTGAGACCCTGTAACAAATACATGAAAAAGTTAATAAAAATTCATTAGCTCTTCCTGCTACTTTGCCTTTCAAAATGAAAATTCTGTTTTTATTATATAACTAGTTACTTTGCAAACATTTAAAACCTAACACATGGTGGAGAAATTAAGATGTGAAGAAAGTTAAGACAGAATATTTTTAAAGTTTCCTATAAGAGCCATCTTCTTTATTAGATGTTTTAATATGCACCAGTAACATTTAGCTACATATGCTAAAAAGTTGTAAAAAAGAAACACACATACACATCCTTAAAGAATAACAATAATGGCTGAGTTCAATAAATATCCTAGTTTTATATTTCTGAGAAATGGAAAAATTGCTTTTGTTAGTAATGTGGGAAATACATAAGTCCTGAGAGCAAGCTACCACTTCAGCATTGTTCCTTCTTGTTTTTATGCTCCTAAATTAAAATGCATGTTTTAATTGCTGCGACTGTAATTTGTTCAGAAATGGTATAATTATGAGGCATGCTGAAAAGAGAAGGTACATCACCCTTTTATTATCTTTCTCCATTTTTGTTTTAACCTTTTGTCTCAACCTTGGCTAGAATCTGAAAAGGAAGACTAGCACCCTTACTGCTTGCTGAAGACGCATTCTAACCACTACGTTTTTAGTTTCTGCAGAGGGCTGTTTTACAGTATTCTGGTACTAAAGCTAGGTCCAGTGTGGGGTAGCAATTAAGTACAGTGAAGTCGGGATCGCTGCAGAATTTGTCTCCTTTGCTATCCAGGTGATTTGGAAAATTTTATTATTTCCAATAGATTGAGAGGTATACTTTCTCCCAGGAATTTATATAAAATTTTTCAAACTTACATAAAAATTGGAAGAATTTTACAGAGAATGCTAGCATGCCCACTGTGAAGATTTTACCACTAACTTTTTAATACCCTTCTCATGTAGATTTTTTTTTTTAATTTTTAGTACACAGTCTACAGAGTCTCACTACGTAGATCAGACTTGTAGTGATTTTCCTGTTCTCAGCTTTCCAAGGGTTATGATTACAGGCATGCCACCACCACCAAGCCCAGTCTCAATTGCAGTCTCAGTGCACCCTGGGGGCGGGGCCAGCACTGCGTGCAAGGGATCGAACCCTGGCTGCCGCGCTCTGCTAAAGCAGGCACTTTAGTCTGCTGAGCTATCTGGCCAGCCTGCTCACATAGATTTTTAAGTGAGCTTTTCCTTTTGGAATCCTTAATCATGCCTCACAGAGAGAATTAGTATACTGTTTACCTAGAAAAAAAAAAAAAAAATACTAGTTATCCTAGCTTTAGGCTAGATGATAGAAGACCAACATCTGACTCTGTACTTAGGAGTAAAAATTGACTAAAAATATATACCTACTTCCCTAACCAGAGTAATATGACAGTTGTGAAGTAACTACCATCAGAACATTGTGTCACACTTTATTCTGTCCTGCTGGGTGACCTCAGTGGGCTGTAAATGTCAACATTTCTCTCCTTTCCCAAGGCTCCACAAGTGATTATGTTTCTTCTCTTCTTCAGAAACGGCCATCATTCAAGCAAATCATTTCAATTCTAGAGTCCATGTCAAATGACGCAAGCCTTCCCGGCCAGTGTAACTCTTTCCTGCACAACAAGGCGGAGTGGAGGTGGGTGAGCCCTGGCACTGCAATCCTGGCCCAGCTTCCAAATCCATCACTGGCCTTGAAGGACAAGGACCTGAGGCTTCATGACAGTCCTGATTCCTAAGCCCAGCACAGAAAAAAAAAAAAAAAAAAAAAGCTAAGATTTTGGAAATCTAATAAGTCTTCCCTTTCATATGTAAGCAAGATAGAGTGTTTCTCTAAGTTTGTTACCTTACGGTGTGCCTGAGCTTTTGGAAAAAGAGTTGAAATCTTATCTTCTGAGACAAAAGACTATCAGACGATTCTTTGGCTCCTATCCAGTAAGATATAAAAATACTCTTGATACATGCAGAGCACTGAACCCACTACTGCAGAAGAGTAGGGAGACCATGAAAGACTTTTAAGAGAAAACTTTGGATGTTATAAATCCTATTAAAACTTGCTAAGTGTAATATAAACCTAGTAATGAGAGAATTCTATGAGTGGAAAAAGTAAGCCCAGAGTGAAACACTTAAGCCAGGTCACATGATGCAAGAATATAAATAGCATGTTTGGGAGCTGACACTGTCCCTCCCCTGACTCAGCAGAGATTTTAAGTAATTTCATCTCTGCTTCTGGTCGCCTTGGCCGTAACAGGACGCCTTACGCCACCTGCTGATGCCAGATGAACACTGCACACACTTGGAGAGTCACAGGCCATTTCTCCGGGCTTTCAGTTTGATTGGTGTTTTACAGTAGCTTCATGTATTCTTTTTTTTTTATTTTTTTATTTATTTATTTTTTTTGCTTCATGTATTCTTTTTTTTTTATTTTTTTATTTATTTATTTTTTTTGCTTCATGTATTCTTATTCCTGTAGAACAACTGCCTATGGCCAATGAGTTTGATGAGTTTTTATTTAGGGATTTAAAATGAATTTAGTGAGCGAAGTCTAGTATGAGAGACTTGTCTGAGCTGAAATAATGAAGCAGGGAAGCAATACTGTCTCCTGCAATTGAGGGTAGCAAACATCTGTGGAGACCACTCCCCTTGAAAATCTCTACGTGAGTTCTCATGGCTCTTAAGGAAAAGACCAAAATACTTAAGAAGACTCAGAAAACCTGTGGCCTCAGCAGCCATCTTAAGAGCATCGCTCTGCTGTCTGGCCTCTGGCCTGTGCTCCTTCAGCAGAGGCATTTTTCTCCCTCACTTGCTTTCCTCTGCTAAAGCCGTCCTGTCTCAGCCATATACCGGCCTGACCCCACCCTGGCTCCTCCTGGCCATTCTTGTGGCTGAGCTAATCCATCCACAAGGGACTGGCCTCTGACCGCAGGCCAGGTCCATGCACCTGTGGCCTCCACACGGCAGTGTTTGTATCTCGCCAACCCCCATGAGGGAGGGGCAGGCGGTCTCCTTCCATCACCATCCCCACCACAGTTAGGCCAGGCCCTTCACACAGCAGTGGCTCCCTGAGTCTACAGGGATGCAGTGAAGAAAATATCATGGTGGTAATAACGTAAAAGACACACTACTCCTGTGTGAGAGAAGAGAAATTCGCAGAGTGACCTGCTTGTTGCAACAGACATGCTTCCTCTGCTTTCATTCATAGATTTCTTGAACTTCTGCTAATACAGGGGAGGCCAGTGCTGTGCCAGATACAGAGCTGTAGCCTTGAGTCCAGCTATCGCAGAGCACATGGCACCCTCCACTGGGAGTGTTCAATGTTAAGCCGCTAAATATAAGCCCATAAATAACTAATTGCTGTTTTGACAAGCGTCATGGCAGAGAAGTACTGGGTATCTGAGAGCATTAACTCTGAAATCTGATCTAGTCTCAGGATAAAATGAAAGGATTTCCCAAGGAAAAGCCATTTGGTCTGTTATCCAAAGGATTAGTGGATTTTTAACATTAATATTAATATTCTTGAGATAGCAGCAAAACCAGAAAACAAAGAGAAGTTGCTAAGTTTTATGTTTAAGACTTTAAAGTCTTCATATAGCTGAAAGCAATACCCATGATGATTAAATTTCCAAAAGAAACATGCTGTTACAACTTTGTTTCCAATTTCTCCAATGTTTTTGTCTCAGGACTCTTGTAGTCTTAAAAATTATTAAAGATGGGCTGGGAAGATGGCTTAGTGGACTAAGTGCTTCCCTGGCAAATGCAAGGGCCTGAGTTCAATCCCTGGTTCCGCCAAAAAAAAAAAAAAGAAGAAGAAGAAGAAGAACCCAAAGAACTTTTGTTTAAGCAGAACTAAAGCCAGGCACAATGATGTATGACTATAGTCCCAACTACTTGGGAGGCTCAAGCAAGATGGAAAGTTCAAGGCCACCCTGGGCAACTTAGACTCTATCTCAAAAAGTGGCTACATGTGCTTGAGACTCTGGGTTCAATCCCCAGTTCTGGAAGAAGAAAATGAGAAAAATTTTAAATATGCATTTATTGATTCATTTAAAAATCAATAATAAGCCAGGCTTGGTGGCTCACTCCTAAAATCCCAACATTTGGGAGACGGAGACAGGAGGCTTACCATGAATTCAGGAATAGTCTGAATTACATAGCAAGACCTTTTCTCAAAAGAACAGACAGACAGAAAAACAAAAACCAATGAGAAATCCTGTTTCTAAAAAAAAAAGAAAAGTAAAAGAAAAAAAGAAATCCTGTTTTCAGCATTCACCCTATGGCTGTCACATATCATGAAGCCTCTGAAAAATGGGCATATAAAGGAAATTCCGTCTTACTGGTATTTTAAAAATAAGTTTGATCTCAAGAATCCTCTGATAACATTTCATGAGTCTCCTGTCCACACACTGAAGACCACTCTGATAGAGTAACTATCTTTAAATTACATTTTAATTAAAGTATCATACTAAGGACATGAGGTATTCTATAGAGTTGTGGAATGGTTAATAAACACTAAAACATTCGTAGTGTCATTTAGCAATCAGACAAATGCATGGGATCAGAATTTGTCTTACCAGATGGGCAAATTTTACATTATGAAAAATACCCAGTACTATAGATTTTCCAGCACATTGCTAGTAGGCAAATACAGCTTTCAGAAAGTTGGATGCCCTCAAAGTGTTCATTTGATTTGTCCCAGAAATCCTACCACTACCATTTTATTCCCAAGCAAAGGAATGGGAAGGCGGTGTGGGAAATGTTTGGGCACTCGTCCAGCCATGCTTCATTGGAACTGTACAACTAAAAGTGCTCCAGGGTACAAGAGGAAAAGTTTTTTTAAATGACAGTATCTCTGTACACAAAGTAGTATATCAAACTTCATGATTATACAGATCTGCTAAGTGACTTTTAAATAGAAGCTGTACAGTCTAATTTGTTTCGAATGATTCTATTTATGTCAAATAAATGCATAATCATGTGTGTGTCTATGGATAGAGAAGAAAATATAAAGTGTTATCACTGAGTACTGGATTATTGAAGAGTGCTTTTTATTTGCATATATAAAACCTGGATTAGTTGAATGACAAATTAAATTTTTTTAATATTTCAAGGTAGAAGCCAGGTTTGGTGTTTGGTGCACACCTGTAATCTGAGCCGCTAAGAAGGCTGAGGCAGGAGGATCACAAGTTTGAACTCAGCCTGTGCTATACAACCAGCTCCCAACTCAGTCCAAACCAAACAAAAATACTTCAAGGTAGAAAATATGGGAAATAAAGTGGGTAATAGAGTATGAAGAAAGAAAGAGTGGAAGCCACACTGTTGCCTAAAGACCCCTTCTGTGGCTGTTTTGCAAGCTGATAAGCCTAATGGAGCGCTGGGGGAGAATGTACACCATTGCCCGAGCCAGAGAACCACGGCTTGGAAGCAGCCGAGCGGCTCTGAACAAACCTGACAGTTGGTTAATAAATGAGGAAGAACATCAAGTACAGTTTTAAAAAAAGACACAGTTATTGTTTATTAGGCTCCTATGGGATCCTTGTACTTCATTTAGATCATCTTTTTAAATCTCCATGGCAACTCTGATTGTCTCACTGATGTAAAATCTGATGTCTGTGTGGTCAGTCACTTGCCTGAGATCATTCTGAGGTGGAAGGAGCCTATAACGTGGTCCGTGGCCAGCACACGGACACATCACTGTGCAGTCATGTCGTCCATGTGTCAGTGTGCAGCGTTCACTGAGGTAGACTCATTATTTGTCTGTGCGGCATTTTGCCAGGCACGATCATTTAGGGTATTCTTAAGGCCATGAGACTGTCTTACTTGATATGCCAAGTGTGAAAAGAATGATGCGTTTTTATCAGATTATCTGTGTATTTTAAGTGATGACACATTCAGACTACTTCTTGTATTCTCCCAACTTTTATCTGGTGCCTAAAACCATGTGACCAGTATCCAAAGAATATGTTTGCAAATAGGAGTCACAATGAAGTCTGATTCCAGTTTTGCTGTGGTGTTTTTGGCGGATGATGGTTTTCTGAAATGGCTTCCTCTGTACCTAGAACAGATGCAATAACTACTTTTAGAAAATTGAATAACTGTGAAAATTCTTTTAAAACTACACTCTTAAAATCATATAACTGTGTTCTTCCCTTTGAGCTAAATGATAGGAAAGAAATTTAGTATCTAAACTTTCCCTATTCATCAGAACCTCAGCTTGGTTCTGTCAACTAACTTGCAAGCATTAGAAACAGAGCCGTGTCCTCTTGTTGGTCTTGCTTTTGGCTGTCAGTCACCCCAGTGACTGTCTACAGCTCTGTGGCAGTCTGCAGTGTGCACTACATGGGGTTGTAATGGAGCATTCAGAGCTGTGTCTCTTGCCAAAGTACTTTGTTGGTTCTGTTTGTTCCTTTGTGACAAAGTACTCTCACCATGACATGCCTTCTTGAAAACAAAAAATAGCAAACAAAAAAAGTAATCTTTCCAATTTGGATATTAGCATAAATTATTTAATACAAACACAAACTTTAGTATACTTACATATCATAGATCATATATGCACAGTGCTATATTGCTGTTGTTGCAAATGGACTTTTTATTTCAAAGTAAATTTCTAAGGAAAAAGATAATTGCAGTTTGTTGCCAGTTTTTAGCATGGGGAAAATTGATACTAGTTGAAATCACCCTCAGTTAGATTTAAGAGTTAACCAGAATTTTCATCAACTAAGACATTTAAACTATATTTTTGGAACAGAAAGTTTCCATAAATGCATCAGCGAGTGCAGTTGATGTGGAGCAAAGCTCCAGCAAAAGCAGGTGGCAAGGGGCGCAGCCTGTGTGTCCTCGGGTTTGTGTTCCATCCCTAACGGCATGGAGCTCGGGTGGGGGTGGGGCAGTGCTGCAGGGCTGGAGGGAAACAGACCACGAGGAAGCCTTCTCGGTCAGTGTCTGTGTCTGTGCCACAGCTGTTGGCTTCCTTGTAACCACTGATCTGCTTTCCAGAAGGGCTCAGCATCACACTGGGTCCCAGAGCTAGAACTCGAGATGAGTCCTGGGATCAGTTACAGATGAAACAGAGTGTGGTTAGGAAGGAATCAGTAAGCTCAGTCTCGCTGGCAGAACCATTGGGGCCGACAGTCCAGGCCACTGCCATCTCATCTTACTGAGCATGTCCAACTGCACGGCTTGCTTGCCAAATTGATCCCCCAATCATCCACTTGATTATAAATGGATATAATGTTCTTGTCAGAAATAAATTCAATGACAGTATCAGAAATAATTTATCAAAATGAATTGTATTTTATAATAGCAACCATAATTCTGAAAGTCTGCTACTTCAATACCTTGTTTTTCAGAGATTTGATTCTCTCCTTTTATGCTTGTTCAAGTGGCACTGGTGAAAGGGACAGTGCTGATTTTGTAGGGGGCACACCAGGGCATTTTATTCTTGCTTTTTCCTCCCTTTCTCTGAGGAACTCCTCAGGGAAGTGAAGCCTTGAACCCAAATCCATTCCCATCTCAGTAGACGTTCCCTGAGTTGGGCTTTGCCAATTAATACTTGGAGCCTTCCTGTTTTTGTTTTTATTCATTTAGTTCTCATCTGTCAGAGCATTACAACAAGCCGTGTCTTATTCAGACATTCCCTGGAAATAAGTTTGGTTACATATATTCATTGATTTGAACATGGGAATTTCTCTCTTCCACACTGAACATCCCAACCTCAGTTATGCATGTTTGTCTCAATGGTACCCAGAAGCCAAATCGGGCCACCAGTTCCTGCCTCTTCCTTCTCTTGCTCTGTATATCTTTCTGGCCTTTCCTCCCCTCTCCCTCAGTCCCTACCCCCTAACTTTTCTTTGTTAGTGTGACTTACTTACACACTCTTCAGAAACCCAAGGTAAGAACTCCTTTAGGTTTTTTCCTTTATGCTCTCAGAGCATAAATTTATACATTAACATCATAGCAGCTGTGAAGGATAAAAAGTTTGTATTAAGCCATCATCCCAATGCCAGTTTCTGTGACGGGCATGTTTCTGCCACTGGGCATATTGTCCCAGGTGTGAACCTGGTTGTCCAGAAAGAAGAAGGAGGGAAACTTCCTTTAAAAATTATTAGGGCTCCTGAGAGTTCCTCTGACTAGCAATGTCCTGCACTTGACCACTTGGGAAAGCTACCTGGCTCAGTCATTAAATAACGGAAATTCCTGGCCCTACCAGGATTGCCTACTAAACCGTGACTCCACAGAATGGCTGTAGGAGTTGTGTCTTGTTTTCAATAAGCTGTCCACATAGTTCTTTGGACCAGGCAAGTGGTGCACCACTGGCATAATGCTACTGCCATCCCTCGTAACCAAGGGAGCTGAGGTTCATCAGTTGATTTCCTGGTTGACTCGGCCATTAAGTAGACTAAAGTGCCATCTCAACCACTTGTTGCTGATACATTGATCACCTAACCTCAATGTCATGTCCTCATCTATAATCCAAAACTATGTGGTTTGGGGGCTTTCTGTGGAAATAAGATGAGAGACCACATAATAGTGCTTTGCAAACTAAAGAGCTAGGTGAATATAAGCACGTACCAAGGAGCTAACCCAGGATACCAGCTCCATAGCTGTGCTACCCTCCTATTGCTCTTCGGCAATGCTTTGTTGAAGTACTTCAAGCTTATTCAAACTAGAAACTACCTCTTGATTGTTAAGACTGAAAGGTTCCTGCTGGCTAGGGATCCCTGTTGGATCTTCCTGGTCAGTGTCAAAGCCTACATGTGTTAACTAGTCCTTTACTCTGATTAGCTATTGGATGGACAATTGAGCACCCACTATCACTTTGGTAGATTTGAGACCTAATCCAGTTATCCCTGCCCAGGTGTGAAATCGAGGCAACCCTTGAGCGGCTAAAGAAGCTAGAGCGTGATCTCAGCTTTAAAGAGCAAGAGCTCAAAGAACGGGAGAGACGGCTGAAGATGTGGGAGCAGAAGCTGACGGAGCAGTCCAACACCCCGGTGAGTAGCCTCGCTTGCTCGCTGCCCCTCGCTGCACCTAGAGCGTGGCTGAGCATGGCAGCCAGGCACGCCTCCTCCCTGCCTTCTGCCTGCCTTTGTAGCATGTAGTGTAAATGGCCTCCATGCCAAAAGTGTGGCAGATAAAGCCTACCCTACTTAGGGCTTTTTCCTTAAGAACTCTCGTTCTCTCAGTGTGTTTGTGTGTTAAGATTACAAACTAAAATCCCATGCATTTTCACACCATCTGTTAGGTTCCCAGAACGTGTGCCTAAGTGCCGATTAACATCTTAGTCCATCAGTAATTAATAACTAGAGCTCCCAGGCAGCCCTTGATGTGTCAGAACTACTGTGTTTTCCTTCTAAAATAGAGCCGGCCAGATGACATGTAAATGACAAGCTTTACTATCCCTTATGCAATTTGGTGTTAGGATTATGGGCAGCAAAAGAGAGGGAAAAGATTTCTTTTAGAACAAGTTTCCAGTGTGTTCCACATCTAAGAAAGTTTTTTTTTTCCCCAAGTCTTGTTAGAGGAACATCAAAATTCTTTTTAAGGGTTTAGCTATTTATATACTAATCTTGAGTTTACATGCTGACATGATACATGAAAACTGAATCAAATTTCAAGCATTCTTCCTATTTTAAAAGATGTATTTTTAGATATCAAATCTAAATTTATCATTAACTTTTTTCCAAGGATTTTAATGGGCAATATTTGTACACTTAAAATTACAATTAATGGTAGATTAAAAATACTTTAATGCATACTAAATTTATTTGTATAGTTGCTATGACAATTATTCCAAGGAAAAACCCTTAGTTTTGGACTTCCAGAGGAGTTTCTTTAAAAGTCTTACTGTAAGAGAAAACAATGAAGTTAAATTATCAGATTGAACTTTTTAAAAATGACTTTGGTTATCTAGGGAATCCCAAAATAAGAATTTAGTTACCAAGACTGTCATAGGACAGTCTATAAATTCTGTGAATCTAGGTTGGCTCTCTAGAGCGTAGTGCAGTTTCCAATACAGGTCAGATTGGTGGCTATCAGGCTGGCTGTGTAAGCTGTTCCAGGTCTGCATGGGAGCCCTGCTTCTCCCAGGCTTCTGAGGGGTAGAAACACGTTGGGCCCTGTCCTGATAGCATGTCCTCCTTGTTTTGTTTTTTAAATGCATTGGAAGCTTATGCTATAAAGCGCTGCATGGCTTGACCATAAATGTAGTATTGTAAGAAAAAGCTTTAAACCACCTATTAGAGTATGCTTTAGAACCTTTCTTTGGTTTATTGTCATCAGTTCTGCTAAGAAATTATGGGCTGCCTTGCACACACTTTTTGCTATTCATTGGTAACATAGTTGTATAATAAATAATAAAACGCTGTGAGTGCTCAGTAGGTTATATGCTTGCATTTTAACTCCAGAAAACTTTGTGTAAAGGACTGCTCTGAGGGCTACAGCTAACAATGGACAGCATGAAGCACAGGCTCAGTGAGATTTTTCTTCCCATTTTTACTTATAAGGTCTTAAGTTTTCTTTTTTTTTAATAGCTCTTGCTTTTAATGTCTCCTCTGTCTAGAGCTGGTATTTCTGAAGGGAAGAAAGTTTATGCTCAGGTATTTTATAAGTAGGTGTTTTCTTTTATCCTCACTTCAGTTTCTAGCTGGCTTCAAATGAGATTACTGAAAGATAAAAATGAATCTTTTAAAATGAAAGTGGCTGGAGGCTTAGGTTTTTCTGTATGTTGCCCTATCTTAATTATGTAAGTTTAACATTTATGTAACTTCTTAAAAATTATGGTTTTGAATTGATTTCAAAGACACTTTTCTTAAAATGAAAATGTTAAAAATATTTAAAAGATGAGTTCTCCATGAATAGGAATAATTTTTTTTTAGTTATTGTAGCTTGATATAAAAATTTTAGGAATAGTTTGGTATGTAGCATAATGACCTCTGCAATAATTAAATAAGCAACCATATAAAATGAAGCCCAGAAGGTTGCTGCAAGGAAAATATGATCCTGTCCCCAGTGAGTTTTTTTCTTCAGTATAACTGGTACTTCTTAGCTGAATTATGTAAAGTTGTTGCTCTACTAACAACTTCAGAAGTCTTTTCCTAATAGAGTGAGTTGTTAAAAAAAAAAATCAACTCCAACTTCAGTTTAAAAATTAGGAAATTTGAGGCTTGCTCATTAGCTCAGTTGTTCAAGCCTGCATGGCCAAACCCAGTCAGGCGCAGGGGACTACAGTTCAATCCCCAGCTCCATATGCCACACCAGACTCACCCCTAAGGCAGCCTGAGCCAGCCCCCCTCCCCAAAAAAAGGAAATTAGTACTAAATGATAGATAGTTTTGTTTTTTTCTTTTAATGTATTTAGCACAGGGTTGATAGGGTCTCACTGCACAGATCAGACTTGTAGTGACCCTCCTGTTTTCAGCTTCCCAAGCTCTGGGATTACAGGCATGTGCCACCACACCCCGTCTCAATTGCCATCTCAGCGTACTCCAGGGGTGGGGCCAATACGCATGCCACGGATCAAACCCTGGTCTCTGCACCTGCCTAAATAGGTGCTTTAGTCCACTGAGCTATCTGGCCAGCCCTGTTAGATAGCTTTATGCCTAGAATGTAAAGGTTATTCTATTACATTATCATAAATTCACCCATGGTGAACCACATCAAAAATACATCTTAAATTAATTATATCTCAAAAGAAGAGGCAGTAACATTTTTCATATCAACTTTTACCCCTAGAATGAATATAACCAAATATTCATGAAGCTAGGCTGACTGATCAAAATAATTACATAAAATAAGAAAATAAATATCTGTCAGCATGGTGAGAAAACAAACTCTTACGGAAGAGCTCTATAAAAGCAAAGAAACCTAAGTATTGGGATAAAGGTAGCAATCTAAGTTAATACTTACCCTCAGTTTTCACATGTGTTTACATATTAAAGTATAAAAGATACAATTTAAAATTCTCAAGTGAATTATTTTATAATTTGAATAAAAACTATTACGTTAGATCTGGATTTAATAAATAATAAATGGAAACAAGTAAAATTCTAGACTGATTTTTTTATTGTATTCAGAATACTAGTCTAGTTTTATAATGCCATTTGCCACCCAAATTTCTGCAGAACTGTATTGACACCTGAACTGTTTCTATGCTTCCTCTGAGCTTTTCTTCCTTGGTACAGGCGTTTCTTAATTTTTACTTGAGATTTAATCTCTGCTTTGTTTCTTTTTTAAAAAAAAAATATAGAGATTAACTAAATATTTCTGAGTGAAATTGGGGAAAATTAAGAAAATTTCTGAAGATGATTTTAAGCTTAAAACTTGCACCTTCTTGCCCATTTGGAATTTGGCTTGCTATAGTGTGTTATAGACTTTGGTTCAAATTTCTCATTCATAAATTATGGCAAATACACTAGAGCCAAATCTGCCTTAAATAAGTTCTTATGCATACTTCCCTGTGTTCATGTATTTCACTAATCACTTACCTCCTGTGCAGTGCCAACTAATTTTGTGGTTCTATTCCCCTTATTTAAATTGGTCCTAATTTCTCTTTTTGCTTCTGTCCTTTCTTCCCCTTCGATAGCTTCTCTTGCCTCTTGCTGCAAGAATGTCTGAGGAGTCTTACTTTGAATCTAAAACAGAGGAATCAAACAGTGCAGAGATGTCATGTCAGATCACAGCAGCAAGTAACGGGGAGGGACATGGCATGAACCCAGGTCTGCAGGCCATGATGCTGATGGGCTTTGGGGATATCTTCTCAATGAACAAAGCAGGAGCGGTGCTGCATTCTGGGATGCAGATAAACATGCAAGCCAAGCAGAATTCTTCCAAAACCACATCTAAGAGAAGGGGAAAGAAGGTCAACATGGCCCTGGGGTTCAGTGATTTTGACTTGTCAGAAGGTGATGATGACGGTGGTGATGGTGAGGAGGAGAATGACATGGATAATAATAGTGAATGAAAGGAGAAAGCAAACTAATAAAATTGAAAATGTTCAGAAAAACAAAAGAAACTTGTTATCTCAGTCTGCACAAAAGACAGTTAAGGAGGCAGAAAACCAAGCACTGTATTTTTAGGTCAGTTATATTTACAAGACAGTAATTTACTTTTGACTTATTTTTGTTCACAGAAAAGTGGGGCAGTGTGATTAAGCCAAAGGTATACTTATGACTCAGCGTATGGGTGCCTGATTATAGAAATTTCTGATTCTATATACAATACAGTAGTTAATGACATTCTCCATTTTTCTTCTTAATGAATATTTTATAATTTTTATTTGACTTTATTTTATTACCTTTATTCAGCTGGTAAGAAAATTTACATTTTGAACAAGCACCTTTCACTCCTAATTCTTCTTTGACACTTGATTCTTCTGTAATATACTATATTTTTTCTCAAGACAGTACATCATGATGTCAGAAATGATTGATAGTGACTGCAAAATCCAGCCACAAGAACATGAGATAAAGGGTTATAACAGAGTGCTTCTTCAGAAATAGCCTAAGTGCCAAGAATTTTTTCATACTACATAGCACAACTACTCAAAGTAAAACCCAGGAAGTATCCTCAATAGTACATGTGAAAGAGGAAGACCGATTGAGGTCAGCAGCAGCAGTCACCAGCGTGCATCCCAGTCCTAGCCCTGGAAGCTCTTGAGCACCACCACGCTGTCTCCTGGGGCTTAGCTTGTACTTTACTCACAGAGAGGCACAGCCTCTGCAGGTCTGGTAAGGGCGTGCCGCGTGCTTGCTTTTTTCTTTGTTTTCCAGAAAGGCATAATAACCCTGGATTCTAAATGTAGGTATACATATCTTAAGGAGGAAATTAAATATTGTAAAAAAAGAAAATAGGAAAGGTACATCAGCCTTACTGGAGCAAAAGATCACTGTGAAGGTCCTTTCTGTATCAGATCTAGCTTTCTGGAATTGTCTTTTTTAAATCTGCTCAGTGATGCTGGCGTTTCAGAAAAACAGGCACAGGTGCTGCTCTGAAGC